TAACTTTCATGTTTTGACGTTTTAAATATCCACCTTCCAAAATGAGATGATGCTGAAATACATCCACTATATATGTACTTCACTAAAAAAAGAATATACCATTATAGACATATAAATCCCCTTTGTGACCCCCCCTACTCTCAAAACACCTCATTGTCTCTCTACGGAAAGGGGCCTGCATAAAAGACTAAAGGCTTTATTCAAAACATGAAAATGATGGAAATGCAATATTATATAGTAGCTAGCTGTTAATATGTGAGGTAGAAACTTGTACTGCATTGCCAGTGTATGGTATGGTATTACTCCATTGACCCGTCACCCTCGGGTTTACTCACGGCCCATCCCTGTCTCTCCCATTGGCTTTCATGTAAAATATACCACTCAAATACAACACATGGAGTAATACATTATATGTAAAACAGAGCTAACTGAACATTTAATCAAAGGTTTCCAATTAAATCTTGTAATACATCGCTAAAAATCTGGACCTTCTAAAATTGAAAAAATGCCGAGTTAGCTCTTTTTACTTTGTAGCCATATACAGCATATAGAGCACTTACAGGCTAATTTACATAATTTGCGACAATGCTTTATACAGTTTCAATGTGCCAAGCTCGCTAAAGTTACAAAATGAGTTGAAAAGTTATCCCTGAATATTCTAGTAGATTACAAATAGAGGATTTCAATCCCATGAAAATTGATAGAGAAGTAAAGCATTATGGGATTGAAGGCCCTGAATTGATGATTTTGTTTAAACAGACACCAAATAATGATTATAGCCAAATGGTTACCATAACAATTTACTAAGTTGAATCTAACATGAGTTAAATATCTCAATAAAAATTAGGCTCAAATTCCAGCTAACATTAATCCATCACATATCAATCTCTACTCGGGATACAGACAGATGTAGATGACAAAATGCTATTCTATTACAAAGTGCTGGAATTAGCGTCAATACAATAGAGTCAAGTTACCAAACGAACAATTTTTTCTGACAAATTAATATGTGCAGTACAATAGCAAAACCAGCATATCATATAAACTGGTATAAACATGCATTAATCATTATTATATAATAGATAAAAATATCAGATGGGACGTATATCATACCAATATTCTCATTTCTCTTAACGTTCAAGTAGAAATCCTACCATTAACTCAATGGTTTGCCAGAAAAGTACTGCAAAATTTTCAGAAAAATTCATCATTATACACGTGCATTGTATGTTTTTACAAAAATTCGTCACGTGTATGCATTAAAGAATTTTGCACACATTATACTTAACGCTTGCCAATAATAATGAAAATATTACATGTGCTAGTAAAGGCTAAGAGCAAGTTTATCTAACATTTCTGAATATTTTCCTCAAAAATCATTGGAAATTCAAATATTCCGACATTTTTCTGCAATTTGGATTATTTTCTAGTCTGTTTACTTCATTCGTACAATGCAATTTTATAGTTAATTTTGCAATTTTTACAATAAATATTCTTATAATTAAGATCTTTATAAAATTTATATATATGACATGCTGTCAATGGGTAAATATAGCCCACCTATGTTTGTTCAAGCATTATCGTAAATTGTTTTGATTTTTAAATAAATAAACGCATGCATTGAGGTGCTTAATTGTGAGTGTTGTATCAAGTCTCTATGCCAGGCCCGTAGTCAGGGGGGGTTCAAGGTTCGCCCCCCCCTGGCCAAAAATTCTTTCAAAATTATGCAGTTTTTCACCATTTTGAGCACTTCTTAAGTGATTTTGGCCATAATTGGGCCAAAATTGTCAAATGTGAACCCCCCTGGAAATTTTTGAAAACTGAACCCCCCTTGGCAAATCCTGGCTACGGGCCTGCTATGTCCTCTGAATTTCCCATCATGCATCATGGCAAATATAGGTGAGAGGGACACAGGAACTTAATGCAAAAAATAGATTCAATGTGGTATAAATTGGGGGTACTGCATTTATAATGTGCTCATATCACTTCATACCATAAATATTGGTAAAGAAGTAAAAATAGAGATAAAATTCAAAAGTTAGGTGATGCAGAGTTTAGTTAATTTTGATTTGTTCACACTTTTGTTTTCTCTCGTCTTTTTGAAATCTTTAAAATTGTGAAGCAAATATTGTTGCTTATACCAATATTCAATAATAATATGTATCCTGGGGACCCCTAGCTAAATGTACATGTTGATTAGTGTATTTAAAAAAGATGACATATACATAACATCTATCCTCTATATGAATATATAAAAACAATGAAAATCATCACTACTCGTACTGTACATGTTCCTAAATATGTGTATTTTATTTTATACCCCATGTGTTATGTTATCACTTAACAAAATGCAAAGAATGTGAGAGATCTTTTGTGATTATTTATATGGTCTTTGATACATCCTAATTTTATAATGGACCATTAACCGGTATCTTTTCATCCAACATCATTCAGCCTCTCTTTCAATATCCTCAAAATGAGGCCAATCCTCTCAAGATGCCAAACTTCATTCTCAAGTCATATTCTGATTAAAAACACTAAGAAATTGGAACTATACATAATAATAGATACGTGTAGTTATTTAATTAAAATTATATGAAAATTAAAAATACTACACAAAAACAATTTACAATTACAAACATCTATAATTCACACAGTGCAATATGAAATATTGCCTTGACTTGTCAACATCATTATAATAAAAATATATATATTTGATTTAAAAATCATTTTTTCAATTCTACTGGAAAATTACAAATAAATCATCTAACATTCAGATCTTAAAAATATCTACGTTATCTATATATATACCAGCACCGTAAAACTAAAATGCTTTTTGACAAAATATCAAAGAGGTCATATGCCCGCGCCCCGCTACTCTAGTTCTGAAACTGTCACAATTTGATCAAGTTCCCCAAAAAACAAGTTTTATAGAAGCTGCGGTATTCTTTTTGGCAAAACTGTTTTTTCAAGAGAAAAAACTTGACTTCTGTGATATTTTGTAGAACTACAAATATCAGGGGCAAGGAACTGAATTTTCTAAACCCCTTATTTCATACAAGAGCAAGCAGAGGGAAGGAACTTGTCAGTTCCAAAGCCTCTGATTTTATACAACAACAATAGGGGAAAAATCTTCATTTTTATAGCCCCTGATTTTATACAATAATAGGCCAAAGCCCCCGATTTATTACAATAGCAGGGGGAAAGACAAGGATTGCCTCCTAGGGACGCATTTGATTTTTCCAACAAAGAAAATGTCAGAATGTCATTATTTAGTCAATAGTGAATAACTGACTATGAATTCATATTCCAAAAGATTCTAACCAATATCTCAATCACTTTTTGGAATTTTTGACCAAAATGGCGGCTATTTGAATCAAATTTTATAATCACGCCATCTCCATATATGGCAGAATATCAAGTTGGAACCCTGGGAACCCATCCTCCTTGGGGGGAAAGAATTTTTTTCTAACAACCATATCTGGGCAAGGGACTGGCTATTTCCAAACCCCTTATTTCATACAATAGCTTTGAGAGGAAAAGGGTAGTTTTTAAATTCCCTGATTTTATATACAATAGCTGGGGAGTGGAACTGGTCATTTCTAAAACCAGGGGACAAGTTAATAGTTCTTATTAAACCCCTGATGATTTGATAATTCAAAGTACAAATCCATATACTATTGTTCTTTATACAACAAAACCTATATTTTCCATTCTACATTTTTTAGTTTTGAAAATGTTTTGAGCTGTTATCCTTATTTAGCTATCCTTAGGTGTTTAGATACAAAAAATATTAGCTCAAGACATAATCAAAGTAAAAATTCTATAAATTGTTGTAAAATATACATTTGTGCGCTGCAACTGATAACAGTCACTAATATGACTGTTAAGAAATAAATCTATATTCATTTGGCAAAATATTTTAAAATGTTGTTTCAACACATAAAGTGTTTATGTACTGTATACTGCCGATGTACATGTACAATCTACAGCCAATGTACATGTACAATCTACTGCCGATGTACATGAACACATAAACTGCCGATGTACATGTACAATCTACTGCCGATGTACATCTACAATCTACTGCCAATGTACATGTACAATCTGCTGCCAATGTACATGTACAATCAACTGCTGATGTACATGTACAATCTACTGCCGATGCACATATACAATCTACGGCCGATGTACATGTACAATCTACGGCCGATGTACATGTACAATCTACTGCCGATGTACATGTACAATATACTGCCGATGTACATGTACACATCTACTGCTGATGTATTAACAACATATTACCAGTGTAACCACTTACACTGGTAATGTACACGATACAGATAGTGTACCCATGATTTGAATAAAACAATATTTTTTCATTTCAAATGGTAAAGTTAAAATTGGAATATGTTTCAAGTTACGTAACTAAAATTATTTACAGAGTGCCAATGTTGTATGAATGTAATTGTATGCTACAAATACTGCATGATGGGATATTAACCCAGGTGCTACAAAATCCTATTTAGCAATGTAACGTGTAACTAATCGGCACTGCAGTATATCATGAAGTGTGAATTTTATGTTGCCCATGATTATATATGTTGCCCATGGTTATATAGTGAGCATAACTTATAATATGTTGTCCCAGGCTACAAATGAGATCAAATTGTGTCATTTCCTCCCATAATTCCTAGCGCTACATTCTTGAGGTGATCTGCGTCAAATGTACTGCAATTATACTGCCACTTATTGTTACCATCGACAGATCACTCACTTTAGAATTTTCAAAAGTACATTCCTGACAGTCACTCCATGAAAGTCTTTATAAAACCATTCACAGATCATTCAAACAACGCTCTTCTCTTACTTGATCACATGATATCCTTTCAACCAATCAAAATGGCTAAATGCCAAAGTTATTTTAAAACTATATTGGTGTTGCGATAACTCTCTAAAGTCTAAAATACATGTGTTGAGATCTGTAGAAAGCGAATCCTCTAATAAGCGCAGGAAGGCTCCTCTACTGGTGTTAATTGGTTAAATGATGCACTTATAGATCTGAACGCAAACACCTCCGGATTGTACAGGATTCTCTGCCTTCCGCCTGTCAATGTCTGAAAGTAAACAAAATGAAAACCATGAAAAAATAATTCACAAAATATTGCTTGAGGATGAGTTAACTCAAGGTATTCATTTTTGTCATCCTGACTTTCTTCCCAATTAATACATCACTGTCTGGTGACTCCATCTTTACCAATACAGGTATGAGGAATGGAGACACAGTTTAAAGCTGAGGCCCAGGAATACGTTAAAAATGTTTAAAAAGTCCCCTAGTGTACTGAGTTGGTAATGCTTGGTGTATACCTCTTTAGAATACTTACATTGAATAAGAATAAGTTAATACTGATTTTTTATTAATGATTGTATACCCGGGCCTCAGGTTTAAAGAGAGAATCAGATATAGCGAGCAGGCTAAACAAAAAATTGTTTCAATTTTAGAATATTTTTGCCTCATGTCATTCCTTGTCATGTCTATTTTCTAAAAATTACAAAAGTGCATACTTTATTCCAGGAAAACTAAAGATTTTTACTATAATGTATTATTTATCTATAAGAATGGTTGCCATTCTTATTATTTGAGAGAATTTAAACATATTTCACTCATTTTTGCATTTTGAATCATTAATAACTTCACCAATTTATAACATATTGTGAATCTTTTGGGAGATGTTGTATTTGATATTGTAAGGAATAGATTGGTAGGTCAATTATACAAGTTGCTTGTAATTTTGTCACCCCCTATAGATCAGATTCTGCCTTTAAGTTATTTTATAATGAGTATGTCTTCTAAACTATTATCATACAGGCCCATAGCCAGAAGCAAACCCTCCCCTGACTAAATATTCTTTCAAAACCATGCAGTTTGTTTCACCATTCTGAGCATCTTTCAAGTAATTTTGGCCATTTTTGGGCCAGAGTTGTCCAAGGTGAACCCTCCGCCCTGAATTTTTTAAAAAGTGAACCCCCTTAGCAAATTCTGGCTACGGGTCTGTCATAGAGAGCACATACGCAAAAATAACCAAGACTTTTTCTTACATTGGTATCCAAGAGATAGTCATGTTGTGCGAGGACTTTTACTCTGCAATGAGAGTCAGAAAGGAGTGATGAACCAGAACAACGGCAACGCCAAAGCGTAGCGAATCCCATCGAACAGAAATGGCTGGCATTTTTACAAACGAATAGCAAATATCATAAAACAACACACCAGAAAGGCCACCATTTTCAAAATGGTTGCTCACTAGCCAAGTTGTCATCAGGAGAAATAATATGCTTTTAAGTAGCCACCTCTAAAATTTTTGAAAAATCGCACACATACTTGTAAAATAACACACATAAAAATGGTGGCCATTTTTCAAAATGGCCGACTACTCCCCAAAGTTTTATTAGACAATGTGCCATGCTTAAAGTATTCACATATCAAATATGAACAAAATTGCTCCACTACTTTTCGAGTTATAGTAAAATACGTTAAAATGGCGGCCATTTTTCAAAATGGCTACCTTCTACCAAAAGTGTCATTAGAAATAGACAGTGTGCCATGCTTATAGTATTCACATACCAAATATGAACAAAATCGCTCAACTACTTTTCGAGTTATAGTAAAACACGTTAAAATGGGGGCCATTTTTCAAATCTTTTTTTCAAAATGGCTGCCTTCTACCAAAAATGTCATAGGACAGTGTGCCATGCTTATAGTATTCACATACCAAACATGAACAAAATCGCTCCACTACTTTTCGAGTTATAGTAAAATATGTTAAAATGGGGACCATTTTTCAATTTTTTTTCAAAATGGCCGCCTTCTACCAAAAGTGTCATAGGACAGTGTGCAATGCTTATAGTATTCACATACCAAATATGAACAAAATCGCTCCACTACTTTTCGAGTTATAGTAGAATATGTTAAAATGGGGACAATTCAAAATGGCCGCCTTCTACCAAAAATGTCGTAGGACAGTGTGCCATGCTTATAGTATTCACATACCAAATATGAACAAAATCGCTCCACTACTTTTCGAGTTATAGTAAAATATGTTAAAATGGCGGCCATTTTTCAAAATGGCCGCCTCCTACCAAAAATGTCTTTAGACAGTGTGCAATGCTTATAGTATTCACATACCAAATATGAACAAAATCGCTCCACTATTTTTTGAGTTACAGCAAAAATCGTAAAATGACGTAAAGGCCGCCATTTTTCAAGATGGCTGCCATGTGCTTCTTTAATATCTACATTTGTAGCAATATTAATGTCCTTTGTAATTTTTTTACATTTAAAACATATTGCTATTACAGTTTTACATATTGCACCTAAATTACTGTAAAATCGGCACTAAAATGGCCGCCATTTTGAAATGAGCGGCCATTTTGAAAATCGGCTTTCGAGCAGAACTTCTACCCCCATAGGGCATATGTGTACAAAATATGAACAAAATCGGGCCAACGGTATTTGAGTTATTGCCCGGACGGACGGACGGACGGAGGCGTTCCCTATATCCCTCCGAACTTCGTTCGATGGGATAATAAAGAACAATGTACCAGATACAGTGAGCATGGTAACATGAAATAGAAAAGAAACAATTTGAACTCGTAATATCACATACTGGTTGCCTGTATTGATTGTGAAACAATTAATTCCTCAAACGGATTTATGGTAATTATCATAAGTCGGTTATAATTGCCCGCAGAAGTAATCACACCAGTCTGTTTTATATCAGGTAAAAACTTAATCAATCCATAATATACATGTTTCCGGCCACTTTTATAGCCCCAAGGCCCTTACATTGCATTGTGCCCTAGATATTATTGACCACTTGATCCGCACAATTTTCTCTAAAATCCCAAAAGGGTTTCAATGTTTAATTTATTGACTTCTCCAAGATGCCAGATAAAGACAATTTGAGATTTAGAGGATATATGGTATCATTTCACCACTTTGGGATTTGATTTCTTTTACATTTCCAGAAATTAACTCAAATACCAGCAAGATAAATATACTTGGGATGAAAATAACAAAACCAATTATCAAATTGTACTGACCGTTAGCAAATTCTCTTTGAACTGATTTCTTTAAATTCACTTATCTTAATCATAAATCTAATCTGAAAACTACTTTTTTGAGAGATAGCTAAGACAATAAGAATCCAAAAATAAGATGTGGCTCAGTCAAGGATATTTACTTGCCATAAAGCCTTCATTTCCTCAAGTTCCTTTGTAAATAAAAAAAAAGTAGTGCCTTAATAACATAGGAAAGTACCCTGAGATCATCCTCTATAACACCATCCTCTAACTACTAAACTTCTAAGAATGATCACTATAGTTGTCTTTCAACCAATCAGTGACAACCTCAGATCCATACTAATATGTTTATTCCATATAAAGGGAGCCAGCCTAGAGTAAAGATAGTCTCTGATTGGTTAAACGCAGTACAGATATTTCTCAATCATATTAAGAGAATTGAACAGAGCCAGTAATTTTTTTAAAGGGTACCAGCAATTTTGATTATAATGAGTTAAGTGCACAAACTGCCACATCCACATTTAGTTCACCTGTGCAAAGTCATTGTCATTTACTATTATACATTTTTCCTCCTTTTAAACAGTTTTTATAAATAAATTCCCTTCCAAGGAATCTGGTTAATATATGTATGTTTTTATAAAAAAAAATATTCATCATAAATACCTTGATAGACACTGGAAATGAATAAAAAGACATCACTAAATGGTTAATATAAATATTGCAAATTGCTTATATACACATCATCACTAAGAAATAATAATGATCAAATCAATGAGCCTAATACCAAGTATATCACTTGATAATGCAAAGTCTGACCATTCTGGACATTACTAATTGAAGTAAATCAGGATAACTCAGCACTTGATTTTGTATTTATTCAATAATTACCTCATTAATTTACTTATTATACATTTTTCCTCCTTTTAAACAGTTTTTATAAATAAATTCCCTTCCAAGGAATCTGGTTAATATATGTATGTTTTTATAAAAAAAAAATATTCATCATAAATACCTTGATAGACACTGGAAATGAATAAAAAGACATCACTAAATGGTTAATATAAATATTGCAAATTGCTTATATACACATCATCACTAAGAAATAATAATGATCAAATCAATGAGCCTAATACCAAGTATATCACTTGATAATGCAAAGTCTGACCATTCTGGACATTACTAATTGAAGTAAATCAGGATAACTCAGCACTTGATTTTGTATTTATTCAATAATTACCTCATTAATTTACTTAAAGACTAAGAGTGATTAGGAAAAATCAAGCGAACAGACCAGGAAGCCATCCATTTATGTCACGATCTTGGAGAGCTAAAACACTCCCAAATTATCCGGCTGCTCATGCAATTTTAGATTAATTCTCGATTTTTTTCTCTAAAATTTGAATAAAGAACTTAATTTTCTTGCATTTCTATACAATTTAGAGTGTTGACTACACATTTAATTAGTTTAATCATTGTTTCATCATTTACATTTCACTAAAATTTGTTTTTTAAAACATGCCCTGTGAAATTTCATGTAAGGGTGCTTAACCCAGGCACTGACAAATTGTTCTTTATTTGTTTGCAGGCTTGCAATTACAATTGAGGTTTTCTACAATAACAGGATTGAGAAAAATAAGATTAAGCATGGCATATCACATGACTTGATGAATAAGTAAAACAAAGAGATTTCCTGAGGTTTTATCCTGGATATTCCTGATTTTTTAGGTTGGCTATGTAAGCAAGCATGAATGGCAGTTTCCTGTATTGTTGCAGTGTAAGACAATCTATTGTCTCAACATGGCCCCTTTACCTGATACCTAGTATTGTCAATAAAATTTCTGGTAATAGGCAGAAATGGCAAATACACAGCATGGATTTTGTAGAGATACGAGTAAAGAAAATGTTAACAAACACAACTTTTAGGCAAAATTGGAAAAGCACAAATCTGGAGCAAAATGGTCAAAATATGTTCAGAATAATGAAAGCAATACATGGTTCTTCTGACACTTTGAAAACAACCATTTTGCCTGTTACAGTA